TCTATGTGTGGAGTCCGGCATACCCTCCCCCCCTAATTTGTTCGCTTTCTATGCGGTCCGTGTCGTATCAGAGGAAGATAGGGGATTAGTTCTTCCCAGAACTTCTTGTAATATTATCCTCTTATCTAGGATAACAGCTTGTCACTTGTCACAAAAACCTAATCACATTTGTCCTGACAGTTTTCAATGTTCATACTGCAACCCATCCTGCTCTGTGCAGTAGACCCATGCAACACAGACGCACCCTACAGCTGCAAATGGAGGGCACAGAAGGCGATACCTTACCCTTATATCCAGGATCGATGGCCTGTAGCCGGAAAGGCGTGGGCCATCAAGGGTAGGAAGACGATGGATAGCAACATGACACTGCGGGAGAGCATCTCCCAGGGGTCTGTTGCATGTCCGCACGAATGATCCCAGAGGCAGTTCATAACAATTTAAGGTCTTGATATGATGTTACTGAAACGTAATAATAATATTGTAATAGACTCTAGTGTGCCCCAAATATGGGTTCACTATTTGCATTGTTACGAAATATAAGACTCAATAGGCTTATGTAGCGGTAACGGGGTAGGTTTGTATTTGGGTGGTGCTCTTTTCGAAATTCAGGCGAGACACCAGCAATCATGCTGGATGTTTATAGTGGGTTTCCTCAGTCCTTCAGATAATTGCTGGGATCGTGTCTCTATTAAGTCACAACAACTTCCTTCTAAATCTTTTCCAATTTTTTATTCACCAGTTATCATAACATTTGGCTGTGTAGCAGGAGGTGCTGATGGCTTTGCGAAAGAAACACAAAACCGAGGGACTAGATTTTTAGCCGAAATTGAAAATCATTCCAGCTTGATAATAGCGAATTTATGTAACATTAGTGTAGTGTTATGCAGGTTGTCTGTATTTCATTGTATGATTCACAAATCGCTACTCACCGCGGTCTAAGGCTGGCAGCGATTTTGAATGACTCGAATGTTCAACCCACAATTTCGAATCCTAATACACATTTGACGGACTACAACGGCCTGGCCATCCTATTAGCTAGAAATTTGGAGGGCGAATAGTTGAATGGATTGATTAGTTTATGGAGGTAAATTGTAGCACCTCGTATGATTTGTAAATACTGAACTCAAGAGTTGTGGAACTTAGAAAAACTTATTTTGCAGTCCTAAAATTGTAGCACCTCGTATGATTTGTAAATACTGAACTCAAGAGTTGTGGAACTTAGAAAAACTTATTTTGCAGTCCTAAAATTGTAGCACCTCGTATGATTTGTAAATACTGAACTCAAGAGTTGTGGAACTTAGAAAAACTTATTTTGCAGTCCTAAAATTGTAGCACCTCGTATGATTTGTAAATACTGAACTCAAGAGTTGTGGAACTTAGAAAAACTTATTTTGCAGTCCTAAAATTGTAGCACCTCGTATGATTTGTAAATACTGAACTCAAGAGTTGTGGAACTTAGAAAAACTTATTTTGCAGTCCTAAAATTGTAGCACCTCGTATGATTTGTAAATACTGAACTCAAGAGTTGTGGAACTTAGAAAAACTTATTTTGCAGTCCTAAAATTGTAGCACCTCGTATGATTTGTAAATACTGAACTCAAGAGTTGTGGAACTTAGAAAAACTTATTTTGCAGTCCTAAAATTGTAGCACCTCGTATGATTTGTAAATACTGAACTCAAGAGTTGTGGAACTTAGAAAAACTTATTTTGCAGTCCTAAAATTGTAGCACCTCGTATGATTTGTAAATACTGAACTCAAGAGTTGTGGAACTTAGAAAAACTTATTTTGCAGTCCNATTGTTGTATATGTTCATTCAAATAATAAGAGTAACAATAATAATAACAACAACAATTGTACCATATTATAAAAGACGATTGAGGAGAACTTTCCTGGCTCCGAATACGTCAGCATCCCTGCATATGACATTAACAGCTGCTGCACATCTAGCAGAGGGACAATTTTTACATGAGGAACAGACATTGAACAATTCAAAGTCTCTGATATACCGAACAGGAATTCGAAGACCAACAACCTCCAGAATTTCAAATCCAGGTAAATTTGAGTAAGAAAGAGTGCATCGAGGCGATGTCTCCTAGTACGTGAAGTATGCAATTTTAACTCCTCCAGAGCAAGAGAATAACTGTAATTGACTTTAGGATAGAAACGATTAAAACAAAGGGCCGCAAACCTCTGCTGGGTGCGTTCCAGCTGTTGGCATCAGCTGACGTGATTGAATTCCTGTCTACGGGCACAAGCATATTCAAACTTAGATCTAAGTAATGCAGTGTACAATCTGAACATACAGTCTACACATGAGAAATTGAAAGTAATGTTTCGAACTAGACCCAACAGTTTAACACAGCGAGAGAAAATATAATTGACGTGGTCATGGAAATAAAGTTTAGCATCAGTAAACACTCCCAAGTCTTTTATAGATTCGGTCCGGGCTATTGACGATAATAATAATAATAAAGGTAAATATTTCCCTCTGCTAAATTAGTTAAGCACTATGCTATGAAGACGTATGAGGGAGTGAAGTTATAACTCCTCCCTTCTTGACCTCGGCACTGAATGGAGGTGAACAATAATAATAATATACTTAAGCATTGAAGAACATCCGGTTTTATGTTTATCTTGAAAGTTTAGCCGATCTTTCTCCCAATTCTGAGTCCAGTCATCTGCACTAGTCACGACACTACATGCAGAACATAAAGATGTTCCCACGACCACTGAGCATTGACAGCCTGAGTATCTTATTTCCAAAGTATCAGCACAATGAGGTTAAGTGGCGTGCTGTCTCTCAATGGACCATCGTGCTGTGAATTATTAAGGCTTCCACTCCTGGTGCAAACAATTGCTAAACCCTCCACTCGTGACGTAGGAGCGGGTGTGTACATCATACAGTTCACTGACCAATGGAGAGGTATCGGTTACTGGAACCAGAAGTTTAACCTTAAGTAGCTGCTCAATTATGTACCATATTTTACATATCAGTTACTCTTAACTTAAACATTCCTCCCCGATGTATGGCAGTGTTTACAATTGAATACACGATGCACATGAGATGAATAAAACGTGCAGACTATGGGTTGAAACAATGCCCATTGTGCGGTAAGGTGAAGTATGATGCTGCCAGTCAACTGAAACACGGACTTGAGTGCCTTTCAAGTGCATGCGACTTAAATTCTGTTTTCGCTGTGATGAAATGAAGCTTGACATTGTAGACTTATTCTATAGAGCTGAGAGTGTTTTGCATTGTTGTTAATATCAGAGACTACATAGGGTCAGGGGACACGCTGTAGCGTAGTTGGTTGATCCGGAAGGTCGGTTTTTCTATTTCCGATGAGGTAATTGAAATTTTCAGATGACCTCATTTTTTCCAACAGCAATGTTGCCCTTGGTTGACTCAGTCTCTAACAGAAATGAGTACCAGAAATCTTCTTGGGGATAAAGAGAAGGCGACGCGTGAAGCTGACAATCTCACTACCATCTGTGATCCTATTGTCTATAAAATGTGGGAGCCTCGACGTCTCACAAATATATGGGCCTCCGCGGTCTGTTAAAGTGATAGCATTACTTTTTACATAGCGTCGAATTTATAGGACGATTGGTGAATAATAAATCGGGAAGGATTTGGAAGGGAGCTGTCGCAGCACAATTGAAATACTATCATGGTAGCTTTCTGAAGGTGATGAGGAAGATGAGAACTTCAATCAAGATAGCCGGTGGCCGGACCGTGATTCGAACAGAGCACCTCCAAAATAGAAGTCCGAGGGCTTTGCCGTTACACCAGCCCCTCTATACATTGCTACATTGTCAGATGAGAACGTAGAGAATGCTGATTATGTGCCTGACCGAGAAACCTGAGTCAAGGAAACTGAGAAGGTAGCGAAATGAACGCTCTTCTTATGTGTGTTAAGGAAGTCCCAGGAACGATTTGACGTTTTCAGAAATTGGTGGGAAATTTGAAGTTTCCGCTGCACTGAATATTCCTACTGTGGTCTTCTGGTTTATAGCAGAGTGCAGTCTGGTATAAATTTACGGATGTTTCGGAGGAAGACAGAGCCACCGTCATCTGCCTCAAGGTAGAAACAATATTTTCATCCCAAGCATTTGCAACAACTTGCCAAACTGTTCTGTGTCATGAATCAGGGGACTACAACATAAGTCTTTGGTATGAGTTTCCTAGTATAATATAATTTAATTCAAACAGTGACCATCACGATTTTGATGCTGTGCATGAAAAGAAGTTTAATGGTGCTTAAATAACATATAACTCCAAAGCAGAAACGCATCGGCTGAGCCATATGATGTATTCGATCATTTGAACACTGAGATCATGTGTTCGAATCCCATTAAAAGCATTGATGTGTCCAGGTTTCGTCTGTGTTTGTGTTGCCCTGTGAAGGTATAAGTATTGGTCGTGATATAGGTAAAATGTTAGTAGACAGCTTCTTACTGAGGCGGCTCGGCTTCAGACCCATGTTAGAGCATGTGGGATTTGTGGTGAGCAAAGTGACAATTCTGAGTAAGGAAGAAACAGAATATTTAATTCACAAGGACTGAAGAAATATATAGAGCATAAGGTACTTGCAATTTAGTATTCACGTGCAACTTAGTTCGTATCTCCATGCAAATCTACGAAAGTTAGTTGCTGTAGGAGTTGAAATCATCACAGCTGTGGTTATGAAGATATAACGCCGTGTTGCCCATAGAAAGTCAACTGAAATTTAGGAGGAAAAGTCGTCTCCATCTTCAAGGTCGAAGAATAAGCCATCTGTTTTCACGCTGGTATCCTGTCGACTTATTCTTCTATCCTGAAGATGGATGCGATATGGTCCTCCGAAACGTCAGTTGAATTTCAGAAGACTACATGGCTTTGTATTTCAGAAGTTAGTTACTGTTGAAACGATTCAACATTTAAAATAATTTAAATATAGTTTAAAGTGTTGTGTTGTGAGAATTAGTTTTTATTTTCTGTGTACTCTCTTTCTTGCAGCAATGTAGGAGTATGTGTAGCAGATGGTTAGCTGTGTCCTGATGGATAGTGTGTGGGTGTGTTGGTGTGTGCATGTGCGTGGAAGTACGAAATACACATCGCCGTAGAAAACAGCACTCAAGGAAGGCCACTACGTAAGTAACACATATTTTTAATTATTTTAAACTTATTTTTATGGTACTTTATATGTTAATCTGTTTTAACAGGAATCACATTTGTTTCTAAAGCAAAGAATTTTCCTACGCACAGCCCCCATGCGATTTGCAGTGCTACAACAGAGTAAAGCAAATCTCACAAATCATCATACATACCTGATGATGGACTCCTGTGGCCGAAACAAGACAGTGAATTTACATAGAAACACAAACTAAGTGGTATTTCGACTAACAATCTGCGAAGTTGCACGCAAAGACCGTTTTGCGTAAATAAATTTATTAACTAATCCAAGAGGATGCTCAAATACATTATTACGGCCTTTCTCTTTTAAATAAATGCTTAACTTACATGACTGTGTATGCGCTTTAGTTCAATTAAATACCAATTTTAATCGCATAGGTCAAACGAAATTATTATTTATTTATTATTCTTGGTTTGACAAAAACTGAGTCTGCTGGTAAAGCGGCCACAATTGGACCCATTATATCAGCCCCGGACGATAGGTGAGTGAATGGAGCTTTGGTCAAACTGTAATTGGCAGTGAAGCCCGAAGTGCTTGGAGAAGAACGTACACCAATGCAAGTTTCACCAACATAAATCCCTGAGGAACTACCCGGGAATTGATACTTGCCCTCCATGATAAGAAGCCGGAGGCTATAACAGTCTGAGCGATGGCTGTAATTGAAATTGTCAGATCGAAATCATTCCGAGAAATTATTATATGAAAAAATAGAACATTTAAACCTGAAATAATTTATTTTATTCTTATTTTTGTTTATGAACACCATTCGTGAGCCAGGATAGCTCAGTCGGTATAGCGACTAGCTACTGGCTGGGCGACCGATGGGTCGGAGTTCGAGTCTCGGTAGATCAAGAATTTTCTGTTCTCCACCTTGTCTAGGCCGGCTCTGGGGCCCATCCAGCTTCCTATCCAATGGGTACTGAGATCTATCTTCCCGGGGTTAAAGCGGCCGGGGAGTGAAGCTGACCACTCAGCTCCAACTAGTGTCGATGTCAAGATAATGTGGATCTATATATCCACTCCCCTAGACGCCTTCATGGTGTAGTGCTTAATTAGTTAAGTACAGGGACAGCTTTACCTTGCCTGTCCACTCCAGGTCAGTTATAACACATGGCTCAAGCGTCAATAGCAGCAGTGCCCTATGGTCCAATTCGTCAAAATATCTTCTGGGAAGAGTGAATGAAAGTGAATTGTCATGGGATGAATTTTTTCTGTAACCATTTTGTCTCTTAACACAGCTACAGAGCTCCCAATTGTTGACGTCAAACATACGGAGCCGAACTATACGGAAGGCGGCATATGCTACCGTGTTCAAAACGTTTGGGCTCTCTTAAGAAACTGGACAAGCTCAATAGGCAGGATATCAGGATTAATATCAACATACACGTACTGCTTATATTCTGAAAAAATATTTCCCTTTCCATTTAAGTGAGAAATCCTTTTCCATGCAGCAAAAAATGCTAGGTATTATCCTTGGAACACGATATTTGAAGCCACTTAAAGGCAATTTAAATGTCTGATGGAATCCGCATTGGTAGATTTTCTATCGTACACTAGCTAATGACTGAATCAATACTGATTAGGAGCAAGGATACAGCAATATTGACACGTATTCTGGGGTGTGTGTGACTTATAGACGGGTTTCGGATTGATGGCCGGATTGATTGCACACTTGCACAGCTTGTTACTGCACTTCACAAAACACTACAAGACACGCTATAATTTCTCATCTCTATCATCTTCTACTCTCGCCTCAAGATTGTCCCTCAAATCTCTATCTGCCGTCTGAGATCCTCGTTAAATAGCCTCGAGGCGGGCCCAACAGAAAACACCGCTTGCCAACAATTTCTCTATTGTTACAGAGGCGTGTTTACCTCATCGTTGCATAGAAACGGTAGTTATTCTATTGTTGCGTGCGTGTTTATTTCTGCGAGAACATATTTACCGAGACGTTGCCGAGCAATGAAAGTCTACTTTCAGACAACGTGTCACAATATACACGCCACGAACCAGCATTTCAGTGTTATAGTGTGCCAACAGAAAAAATCAAAACACTAGAGTGGTCAGCTCCAAGGTCTGGTCTATTTATCCGCATGTAAATATCTTCCTCTACCAAGCAGACAAGAGTATGGGTGGGTCTCAGGCCCGGTCTGGACGCTGTAGAATAGAGAAAAGTATCATGTTCCTGTCGGGGTAGAACCCCGGGTGTCCAGCCTGCAGCTCGTCTGTATACTGGCAGAGCTATTCGGGATCAACTTAAGTTGAAGTTTGTTTTCGAACAGCTGCTTAATTATTTATTTTCAACTTTTAAGTCCGCAACGGAACTTTTTTTATATAATTTGCGATAAGATTGAGAATTTGGCCTATGAAAACAGTTTTTTTAATGCTAGTGGGGTGGGACTAAGTCCGTTGTACTGAGGCCACTTCTGGCCTATTGTACCAGCTCCAGATGATAGGTGAGGTTGATTGTGAAGCAATTTGTGGAATGACGATTAGCAGGGAAACGGAAGTACTAAGAGAACACCTGCTCCAGGGCCACTTTGTCCACCACAATATATCTTGACCAGACCCGGGATCGAACCCGGGCCGCCACGGTGGGAAGCGAGCGACTAACCGCTTGAGCTATGGTGCGGCGTTGAAAACTCGTTAATTTATACTAACTGCGCTCCGGTGGCTCGCAATAGAACCTGTTGAAAGATGTATTCATATGTAAATACACATTACAATCGCATAATCTGTAATTAATTTAAAAGCACGGGAATTGTCAATGATAGGTTGTAAACTTTCCGATTCATGTATTGGAATATCATATCAAATTTTTTGCTTCATTTTCTGACATCGGAGTGATGTATTTGGTGTGTCAGCCTCTAAACTATATGTGTGTTCGCCAGAGAGCAAGAGAAGAAGAAGAATAACAAGAGAAGAATGGCAAGTGAAGAAGAGCGCCTTGCGAGACTGCGAATGACGTTGCATTCCTTAGCAACTCGAGTCCCAAAAATAATTCTGACACGAGTTGACTGGACATTTCCTGCTTTGAAGAATCAGGCTGTAAGTGTTATGTGTCCAATTATAAATTTATAGTAGAAACATTTTTTGTTGTCATGTTCTCCAATTATCTTCATCTAAACTTTATGTGCCAGGTAACTACATTATGTGCACTTATCTCCATTGCAGTTCACTCCGTGTGCGATGGATCTCTATAGCCGTCTCTTCCACGTAGCCTTACTGACTTTCTTGTTACCACCGAAATTTCAAAACACTTAGGCACAACAGACATTCGCTTCACTTTAAGACACTTCCCAAAATTTGTTCCGCTAATATCCAGTCTCTTATTACTCTCGCAGTTCTCTCTTAGTGTTCTACGAGGCCACGTTCCTTAAGGTTTCAGCACAAATATACGGTATGCATATGTTTCCCCCAGTTCCAAATTACAGGTGCAGACTTCTTCTCAAAGAAGCAACGCTTTTCAGATGCAACTAAATTGAAGAGAGAGGCGCACTTAATTTTTTAATTAATATCAATTAATAAAATCCAGACTAATAATTACAGGATAAAAATTTTTAAGTATCAAGAAAATCCCAGAATTCTGCAAATGTACAGGAATAAGTGATTATGCCTTTTGCTTTAATTCCGTCTATATGCAACTTCGGTTTTTACACTTTATCTTATCGGTCTAACCGACCATCTTCACATGTAAATGTTGTTCTCATTATGGAATTTGCTGCTCACTGTAATGCTTTTTTGTTTCTCTTAAGTGTTTCCCTCGGATTACTTCCAGTTATGTGGTTTAGATATATGCTTTCACTTCGGTTTCCTTGACCTCATCATGTCTGCCTTCTCTGTAATATACGAGTATGAAGTGATATCATACAGTTTTATTTTGATTTACGACACCGATTTACACCGACACACATAATTCAATATTCAAAGCATTACAGGAAACGAACACCAGAAAGCAGCACACAACAAACAATACATCTTAGGAAGCAACAGCCCCCACGTCAGGAAAACACTTACATCCTAAGGATCATGATGGTGGACGACCATAAGCAAGAACAGCCAAAAGAGTCACAGGCAACAAATCAAACCATACCACAAATAATACCATATATACGTTAACTGAATATACATATAAAATTCAAGAAAAAGCTCTAACACAACACATCACATATTACAAATGAAGCAAAAGACGTATAGCTTAAGGGCACCAAAATGAAAACAGAAAATTAACCAAAGTAACTGGAAGTAAACTAAGGCAACGGCATAAGAGACAAAAAGGTTTTACAGTGAGCAGCAGATTCCTTGTAGATGTGAAGATGGCCGAAACTTGTAGTGTTTGTAATTGTAACCGAAGTTGCAAATAGACGGCATTAAAGGAAAAAGCAGAGTCAGACCTGTGCAGTGCAACAGGATCCTGCAATGTAACTTTATGTACAGAAATATCATTTACACACGCTTGAACGTGCTCTGTGCCAGTAAGAATTTCATGAAATTTTCCGGTCAAACATTTAGACATACTAGGCAAAGGATGACTCTTCACTCGTCATTAATTCTAGTCTATGGTAGGACCAGTTTAACTGATTGGGTTAACCAATGCGTAGCATGGCATGAGACGCACGCAACATTTCCACTGAAACTGGCAGACAAATGCTAGTATTTGCTTAGAGAAATTTATGTTTTGATTAGTAAATTTGAGGATCAAGCTGGGACACTATGTCATCTTGATTTCTCCTTATGTAACAGGATTTGTAAAGGTGTCAGGAGTATTAGTGGAAAATGTCTCGGATCCCAACTTCACTGCGTGTTCTGAGAGCATTTCTGTTTTTTTTTTCAGAGTGTTAAATTAAATTCAGCAGACATTGAAGCAATACACGTCAATAAGGATTTTAATGTCAAGGAACTTCTTCTTCGTGAATTGTTAAACACAGAAGAAGACTTCAATTCTTGCAGGATATGTAAGAAGTCATTGTCTCGTGAGACTAACTTGCTGGGACATTCAAGTGGAAGTAGCAGAGAAACAACATCTCTTTGTGAAATGTGTGTCACATCATTAACTCCTAAGCATAGTGCAGTACGACGATCAAGTGGTCTCGAAGAGCCTTTTTCTTGCAAAGACTGCAAGAAGTTAAACAGTCACGCTAATTTGTACAACCATACCAAAGTGCATACTGCAGAACGGCCATTTTCTTGCGAAGTGTGTACGAAAATGTTCGCACGCCGCTCTAACCTAAACAGACATTTAAGAATTCACAATGGAGAACGGCCTTTTTCGTGCAAAGTGTGTAAGAAAGCTTTTGCACAGAGCTCTAACCTAAACAGGCATCTCAGGGCACACACTGGAGAGCGACCGTTCTCGTGCCATGTGTGTAAGAAACGGTTCTCTCAGCTCTATAACCTAAACACACATCTCAGAATACACAGTGGAGAAAGACCCTTTTATTGCGAAGTGTGTGAGAAAACATTCACTTATAGCTCTATCCTGAAGAAACATCTGAGGGTGCACAATGGAGAACGCCCTTTTTCGTGCAAAGTGTGCAAGAAAACTTTCGCAGAGAGTTCTACCTTAAACAGGCATCTCAGAGCGCACAGTGGAGAGCGACCGTTCTCGTGCGATGTGTGCAAGAATCTGTTCACTCAGCTCCATCACCTAAAAATACATCTCAGGATACACAGTGGAGAAAGACCCTTTTCTTGCGAATTGTGTAAGAAAACTTTCGCTAATAGAGATGTCCTGAAGAAACATCTGAGAGTGCACAGTGGAGAACGGCATTTTACGTGTAAATTGTGCAAGAAAATGTTCACTCGCCGCTTCCTTCTGAATCAGCATCTCAAATCACACATTTCAGAACAAGCATGTTCGTGAGATATGGAAGGGAATGATCACTTGTGGCGGAAAACTAACAATAATCGCCTGCAATGACATTAGGGATAACCTTTTCGTTTAATGTGAGCAAGAAAATATCCATTCATCGCGAGAGTGCGAGTCTATAGAGACATTTTTTATTTTGCATTTCTATGAAAATATTTATTGCATCAACTGAATTATTGGTTTAAAAAATATATATTCCTTCAAGAATTTATCTGGTTACAGAACATGAACTTTTTACTGTGTGATATGTTTAGGGGCCAGATTTCAACATTGGACCTTCATAATTTCCTTGATTAAACTCGTTTTAGGAACATACGCTCATTCTTTCGTATTATTATAAGTTGTATTACCCTCTTTTAAGTTTTGTTTCATGGTGTTACAGGAATATTACACAACAATCTCTTCTGTTCATTATATGAAAATGAGTTCAGTAATTGCTATCACATTTAAATGTTTTTTGTTGACTTCATTGATTTTTCACAATTAACTTGCCATCATTGCGTGTATTAACTCAGTATTTTTATTGGAAGCCTGATTAGTATATTAGGTTCATAAAATAGAAGGTCTGAATAGTATAGTAACCGTCAGATTCAGTTTTCTTGTGTGATTTTTCTGGTCCGTATCGAAATGTTGTCAGATGTTTATATGTTTAATTTAACTGACGTTTATTTAATGTGACTGGTTTTATTATTCCAGTGTAACGAATTTTAACATCTCCTTTGTGTCCTATCATACTCTGTTTTGCATCCTAACTGCTATTACTTTTAAATGATAAATTAATTACTAGTCCGCATCAGATTTTCCCCGTTAGTAGCTATGTGCATGTCCACAGTTGTTTCCTTCCCTTGCGTTTATATTTCCATGGCTCGCCATAGGAAAGTCCCTGGGCTGCGATTTCACTGACGTCACATTTCTAAGTCTAAGCACAGGAGAAATATGTAGCTTAAGATCCCATAGGTGGACTCAGACCAGATCGAGGCGCTTGCAAGTGTGTTGATGTTTATCCAGTTTGTCCAAAACGTTTTCACGTTGGTTCATCGCTCGCGGATTTCTTATACCCTGAAGATGGAGGTGATACGTTGGGTAACAAAAGATCTACATGGCGCCATATCTCAGAAGATGGCATTCTTCAAATTAGAGCTTATTTAATTTCCGGTCTCTGACGAGGAAGCATCAACTTGTTTAATTATGTAAGTTGTGTATGGTATGTTCAATTCTGCGCTTAAATCTGTGAAGATACCACTTCTTTCTCTCTGGAACTCCGTTCCCGATCATCCCGTTACATTTTAGTTTCTATATGTCCATGTCTCGAGCGGGAATCGAATCCTCGATCCCAATGTTTGACCTCTTCAAGACCGTACAGGTGGTCACTGTGGTCCGACGTGTTAGTTCATCCCCATAATTGCGACATGATATGAAGTGGCCACCAAGTTTCACCTGCAAGCTTGTAGTTGTGTGCAGCATATGGAGCAGAGCGTTAACTCGAAGCAGCAGATGACAGAATTCTGGTCTCCACGCGCCTCACTGCCTCTTCACAATGATAGACACATACCATCCATGCACCTAATTGAGCTCAGGGTTTTTAATCAGCACCACTATTGGGGTCTCTCCTGACCCCCATTCTCAGTTTGGATTGCCTCATTGATTATCTGTTCTTTTCAAACCCCCCGGTGTGAGGAGACTTGCATCCCTCCACAATAATCTCCCTGTCCTGATGGTAGCAACTCAGATTTTATCGAGGGAGTTTCCTGCACGTTGTTCTTTCGCTTCATGTCACTTCCATGAACATGTTAGAGGCCTAAATCGGCTTATTGGTCCCCGTCAAGTCGCCACCATGTGCGATACGAATTGATAGAACCTGGCGTTCATGCAGCAACCGGGCGTCCTGCACCCATCTGGGCCGGTATAGTGGGACTCTCTTGGTGTCGTAGAACTGTTTACTTTAAAGTTCCTCAAAATATTGTACTCGGTAGCCTATGAACCAAACTGCAAATATCTAGAGCAAAATTAAAAAAAAAGGGAATTCACAAGTTAACTTAAACTTCCATGTAGGCCTACTACAGTACACAACACACAGCACATAGGAAACATCCAACCATAAGCCATACAACCTCTAGCTGACATCTCCCATCTTCGGGATGAATTAACAAGGAGGAGCCTAACATTTTACATCAAATGTTTTCGATGTTTTAAATTTTTAAATATTTTAACATTGGCGTTTTAACTTGAGGGCAGTTTCGGATGGAATGTGAGAATTGATAGTGCATTCAACAATCCTAGCAAGTGTTATGCTTTTACACGTCGACATATTGTAGCAGCGTCCACGCAGCAAACATAACTGTGTACATCTTAAACAACGACAGTGTTTTCATAATTGTACTATGTGCCTCTGATGATGGTTTGTATTAAACCGAAACATGTAAGGCAGAAGTGATAAAGAAGTGACCTACAAATTGTTACACTCGACGGACTTTCTATTGACCTTCCATGAAATACATATAAAAAACAGTGATCGCCTTTGTATATTTCATGCGTGCAAGGTTATTTTGAGTAGGTTGAAAATATAAATTAGCACTATTCAGAGATGTTCTTTTCCTAAAATATTCTGAGACTACGTCAATGTCAGACAGACGTGGATCATTAGTTCGTCATTAGGAAGTTGCAGAAAGTCACCATACCGGAGATATCATTTAAAACAGAGGATATATATTCCATCCGGTTGTTTACACTATGTATGTTAAAAGTAACGTGTCCCTGTGCTTAACTATTTAAGCACTACACCATGAAGGCGTATGGGGGAGTAGATGTAGATCCACATTTTCTTGACCTCGGCACTAGCTGGAGGAAAGTGGTCAGCTTCACGTCTCTGCCGCTTTACTCCTTGAAAAGAGCCCCCAACACCCATTGTATAGGAGTTTGAGTGGACCCCGGAGCCTGTCTGATGGACTTGAAGAAGAGAAAATTCTTGCCACCACCGGAACTCGAACTCCGACCCCTTGGCCGTCCAGCCCATAGCCAGTGCTATACCGACTGCACTAACCCTAAAATATTTGGGCAAGAGTTTCTGTGGTGATGATATGGAGTGAGACTCAGGGCTTGTAGTGCCCTTAGGTTTACGGGCACCACAGTTTGAGAGAAGCGAGTCTAGACTTTAAAATATTATTGATCGTTACGTCATTTAAATTAAATTTAACTGAAGCAGTCCTACGTTAATTGCATAATGACGAATGTGGTAATTGATATATACTTAAATTAATTAATGATATTCTGTAGTAAGAAAGTTTAAGTTTCTGCCATTACGTATTTCAGGACACTACCCTATGGAGTATACGCAAGGTTAACGGTAGGAGTATCCGGCGTGAACGGAGAAGTTCATGGAGGTAGGCCTAGGCCTACTGGGGCTGTAGTGCCAAGGGGGAAAAGTATCCTGCAACGTGGGAGAAAATCGAACCGGGTCCCTCCCGTTACCGCTCAGCAAGCAGCTGTGGGGGAAAAGCTGTTCCACCTCCTCTACACACTTGCTTCTTTGTCTCTAATAATCATATTTCAATGTCGATCAACATTATAAACACTCCACGACTGAAGAAAACCAAGAGACGGTTTGTAAGTCTATAAACCAATCAATAGAATAAAAGTTAAATATGTCGCTGATCTTGAATTTGGTATCGTGCAATGAAGACTTAATGGGGCCGTGGAGGTAGACTTCCACAAATTCTTACTCCTTGTACCAGGTGGAGGTAAGCGGTCATATACAGGATCCGGTAATGAGGCGAGAAATCGGTCTAGACCCGCAATCACACTGGAAAGACGAGACGACTTGGAGTTTGCGCTGAATAGAATTGGAACTCGAAAAGCTGAGGTGTGAGTGTGTGTTCCAGCGACAAGACCACTTCTTGTTTATCTTGTTCTTGTGTGCTTCGTTGGTTGCCCAACTGCGGACAGGCCGTGTTTTATATATCCGGCAGTAAATAAATTAAACCACTGCCTCTGTTGTTTAGAAGTATGAATTATTGAGGCTGAGTGTGCAGTTGTGAGGTGTCAATATGGATGTACAGAGTGCAGTGTTAACGCGCTCTACACAGTGTAGAATAATTGATATGGCCCCACTGTTGTACAGCCAGCTTCATGTTCCAAGTTTATTTTTAAAGGAAATCTAAAAGCTATAAAACATTAAAACATGCATTCTGTTGCACCAAACAGAGCGTTTTTTCTGTTTTGTTTGTAGCGTTCCTAAATCTCCCATTTTAAATTTATTATAATGTAAACAAAGGGTGTGTTCAGTTAGAAATTTCATCATGAATTTTCAAAATCTTCTGTTATACATATTAACTACATCATGCAGTATTATGTAGATTACAGGACAAATGGAATATATTTCATAAAAGTTGAATAAAACTTATGGACAGTTCATGCAATTTTGATTGCGTTTTCCTTTATGCAGGCTAAGTGTGGTGTAGGACTGAGATAATAAATTTGTAACTACGTCTACGATCTGTATTTAATTGTACTGATGTCCAGTCCCTGTTTCGGCAAGGTAACAACGATTAGTGGTCTCTCCAATTTTTTGGATAAAAGAATAAAATTGCAAAATCTTTTCCTAAGGTTTGACCCTGTGTATGGATTGTTCATTATATTTGCGGATGGAAGGGGAAATGCCACAGTATACCCATATTGTGTTTGTTTACATCAATCTCTGCTTTGTTTCAGTTTTAATTCCAGAATCCGATCGAGGGGTTGGAGTTCGAGTCCGGGAAGGTAAAGAATTTTCTGTTCCCCACGTCGTCCAGACCGGTTCTGGGGCCCACCCAACCTTCTATCCAATGAGTACTGGGGGCTCTTTCCACGGGGTTATACGGCAGGGGCGTGAAGCTGACCACTCACCTCTAGCTAGTGCCGAGGTCAAGAAAATATGGATCTATACATCCACTCCCCCATACTCCTTCATTGTGTAGTGCTTAATTAGTTAAGCACATGGACATCTTTACATTTACCTT